TTAAGTGTCAGATTGTTGAACGCTTTCACTCCCAAAAGTGATTGAAAATGTAACCTCTCCCTATCATACAATAGATTATTCTGCAAACAGGTAATGGTCAATAAATGAAGTAATAGTTATTTTTGATGAGTAAGCTTTACGACTTTCAAGAAAATGTGAAGGAACTTAACAGAGTATACCTGTATACTCTCTTGTTTGAACCCTAGCTCTTAGCCAATAGCCTTTCATGTCCATAACTCTTAGAAGACGATGGAACGATTGTCAGTTTCACTGATAAGAATTTCTTTCTTATACAATATTTTAGTGCTTATCAGGTGATTGTTCTGAAAGTCTGTGATTGTTATCAAGAGCTTTCCAGAGACTTTCATTTAAAGCTGAAAGATTTCAATCGAAACAACGACACATTTTATCCATTTTACGTTGCTGCGGAGATTAAAAATAATCCTGTGCACGATAAGTCTTGGAAATTTACGGTTGGTGACGGCAAGTCATATGGAGCTTTTGTTAACAAAGAACTGACAAGAGGAGAAAGTTACATTGTATACCAAAGAGCCCTAACCAATCACAACAGTGTAAGTAAATTTTACTTCATTTCTTCAAAATAGATAAATAATCCAAACGTTAGACCGGATTGAAGCAACAGAACACATATTTTCGGGCTCCATAAGATATAGCCACGCATGGTGTTGAGAGAACACGAGGAAAGCTTATAAATCACGAGCCGAAGGCATTGTAACATTCCAAGAGGCCTTATCACGTTTTAGAACCCGGATTCTGCATGGAGACTGAATTACCCAATCAAAAAATGCATACTATGTTCATTATGTTATACAAGTAGATAATTATTTTCTGGGGAAACCATGATGTCACTGATTGTTTTTTAGGACTAGATGTTTTTTCCAAATATCAGGGAATCAAAAGAAGTAGTAGTTACTTTTTTGGGTTTGTTTCTCAGCAAATTTTAGAGGGGGAGGCCAGCAAAATCGCCATGATTTCTATTAAACCAGGTAAGCGATTCAATTGTCACTTGATACTTAAAGACTTTCTTTTCAAAAGCGAAAATAATTACTGAGTGATTAAGGACCCTCGGTTGGTAAAGTAATAGTTTGAACATTTGAAGTTCTCTACTTTGGTTGCATGGGTAGGAAAATATCTAACAAATTATTCGCTTGTAGGGTTAATGTTTCACTAAGAATCCTGATGTGCCACATCCACCAGCTTGCCTTGCATATTGTACAACACTGTTACAGTAACTTCCTTGTTATTATTGTATATCATTTCAATTTGACAGTGACAAAAACTCGTCTAATTTAATGAACAGCAAACACGTGTTTCGTCGAAATTCAGCTGTATGATGCATATAAACATTTGCCATAGCTTTGGTCAATTGAACATTTAACAACTATTCACCGAAGTGGAGGTGGTTAGTGGTGGATATTTATCGAGCCGCGATGCGGCGAGGTAATTATCCACCGCTAACCACCGACACTGAGGTGAATAGTTATTTTAGTCTATACTAAAACAGTGAGATAATATACACCCCCAAAAATTGATTTTAATTCATACATTCCAGCAACGATTCTAACATTTTCCCGCGCGTGACGATCCAACGCGGCTCGGATCGCGGTAAGTGATTTTTCGTTGTAAAAACTG